GTCCAAAAATAAGATATAAAACAAAGAACCTTACCCTTCTGAGATAATTCTCTGCATTTACTATTCCCCCAGGAACACCTGCGTTGTTCACCTGCAACAGAAATTGTTATCATATGCAAATATGTCTACATGAAACACAGAAAATCCTTTTAATCTTTCTGATGAATTTGAAAAACTCAGGTCTACCACAGTGCAAGCTTTCTGAACACAAATTGAAAAGGAGGAAAGAAACTGTGACACTCACCAATATATCAAGTTTTCCAAATCTGGTTTTGATGAAATGTGCTAAGGAAGTAACACTGTAAGGGTCTGTCACATCAAGTTGATGAAAAACAACAAGTTCTGAGAGCCCAAACTCTTTCAATCTTTCCACTGCTTCCAAACCCCTTTTCTCATTTCTAGCAGTTAGCACCACCACAATTCCATTTGAAGCCAGTTTCTTGCATATTCCATACCCAATCCCCTTGTTAGCTCCTGTCACCACTGCATACCTGCATATATCCAACTTGTTAGGATCGAGCGCTTACCACTAGACCAAAAGCTATAGCCATTAGTCAGAGCGCAACTCTTTTTACTTTAATAGCCCAAGCGCCACGATTCGATTGTGACTCGGCCCACTTGGCCTTCGCCACGGGACAATTGATGCTACCTGCAACACAACTCAATGCATGCATCCTTTGCATAATTTTTTCTGATATCTTAAGAGAATTAACAAATTGTTGTTTTCTGAGTTTTTTATCATTAGAGTTTAAGTGTGTCATTCATGCTACATAACAGTGTTTTTTGACAAAATTCAAAGCTTCATAACTTCTCTAGCTACCTTAATTTACATGTAATAGAATGACTTTAAAAACACAGAAACACAACAAAACTTATATACGATTATCATTTTCTCTGTACCTTTTTGCTGCTTCTCCCATGTTCATGATTACTCTGAATTCTTCTATGGTGAAACTATGCTTCATTGTTGATCTGGTTTTTGTATGAAGCGAAGATACATACACCAAAAGTGAAATAAAATATCTGCATGTTGTGCATAAAAAACAATTGGGTCGTTAGAAAGTCAAATATTTGAAATAACCAAATAAAATAAATTAAACTTAAAATTAAGAATTGTCATATTTTTAGTACGTAATCGTGAATAAAAAACTAATAAGGACATGAATGAATAGACTTGGAAATTTATATGCATTAACTGAAAACAACTTCTTCAGATAATTGCAATCATCTCAATTTATTAGTCGTCATAAAAGTCATTATTATTTTCTCAAATGTACTTTTTATGTATAAATTAAAGACAGTAAAATATTATAATATAGTTTTTAAAAAAATATTATCTTTGATGTATTTTTTCTGCACAAAGTTATGATAATAAGACAAGGTGCCATTTTCATCTTGATCCTAGAAAGTAAGGACCACTATCTGGCGGTCCCAAAATTTTATGAATTAGCTTTGTGTGTTTAGGATTGTGTTAAATAATTTCCTTTCATTTATTTTTTTAATTGATAATTTAATTTTATATTTTATTTTAATATATTACATTTCCTTTAAAATAGATTGCAAAATTTATGTTACGTTTTAGAAATGACAATTTTTTTATATTTGTTGTTGTTATTAATTAACATGAAATAACATCAAGCTTTAAATTATATTTGTATTGAAATAAATTTTATTAAAATAATTTTATTAATTCAATATTATATATATATATATAAATATAATTACATCTATTTTTAACAAAAATAATTTTTGAATTTTAAATTTATAATATTTTTATAAAAACTATCATAAAAGGAATATTTTTATAAGAGTTAAAAGCATGGATAAATGAAATATAGGATTTACTTATTATTTTAAAAATGGTTCTTAGATAGAACATATAATCCTTAATCTTCGATTAGAACTTACGTTCTATTATACTTATGAATCACATATAGCTTAGAAATTGAGACAAAAAATAGTTTATATACACCTTCTTCTTTTAACTCACCAAAATATCTCTTAAAGACAAAATCGTAACGTATGAGAGCTCAAAAATAGACAATACCTCAAACATCAAAATTGATCTAATATGTAAAATTATTTTGAAATCATGCTTCAATTCTCATCAACCAATGATATTAAATATATTGTACAACAGAAACTACTATTTTATTGAAAATAAACATACATCAATGCGATTTATACATCATATCATATTTATCTTATATTTTATATAATAATTTCTATGTCATCAAAAATAAAATTTAATAAAGGATCTTGTTGAATGATTTGAGGTTGAATGATTTGAGGTGGTAATCTGTTTGGTAAACTCACGTCGTGGATATTTTTCTTTTGCTTTCTGAATTCAAATGTTTGAAGTATTTATGGGTATGACTTGCAACTTGAGTTGGGGTTTTTGTTTTTACCACATTTCTTGAAATATTTGTCCATGCATGTCCATATTTGTTAAATCCAACCAGAAACAACATCTCGAGAAAGAAAGATTTTAAAAAATATTTTTTGAATTCTTAATTAAATATTCAAATAAAAAGACGTATATTACCTGTATTCTTCTTTATTACATCTTTTATAACGAGATGATCTTAAGAGATTAGTTTGAAGATGTGACAATTTTGTCTCTGTCGACGATAAAAGTGGAGTTTGAATTATAATATTTGATTGTAATGATGTTGACAATGTTATCGGTTCATGAATGAAATTAAAAACTCTTGCCAAGTTAAAGTGAGATACTAAACACACGTTTTCAATTCTTGATTTTTCTTCTTCTAATATAGTGTAATTTTTTTTTCTACGGTGACATCATTTAGTAAAATATTTAACGATAAATTTTAGATAATTAATTTTAGAATCATGTTTTATTTTAAATTTGAAATATAAAATTATAAAATATTAATAGATGTAAAAAAGATATTGTCACCGCCGTCGAAGAGGCGGTCGGAGCAACGCGATGATTTTGATATGACTCGCGTTTTTTGAAATAAATGGTTCAACGCCTTTAGGCTGTCTGATAACCGGGCTGGACCTAAAGGTGAGGTTTTCGAATAGGTTCGAGGAGTCGTCATCAGTGTTTTAACCTTAAACACTGAAAAAGGTAAAAAAAGAAGAAGACAGTGGTTTTAGAAAAAAACCAACTTTGGCCATTACAACCAGATTTGGGTAAGGGAGTTAGTTACGTGTGGGGAAGGTGTTAACAACCCCACAACGCCCCTTTCGGGTTCCTTATGATGGACTAACTTAGAAAATAAACACTTAAAGAAATTATGATTTTACCCTATTATTCTATTTACTTGCAGAATTTAAATATCTACATGGCTCTATTATTTAATGCACACAAAGAAAGCGATAAAGAAAACAATAAAAGAGACAGAGAATAGAGAAGGAACCTCCGAAGCAAGCTTTATATTAACTCTTCGAAAACGTGATGACGCTTTTTGGCTGTCCCCGCACTCTACAAGCACGCTCCTCCCTCAAAATAAAGAAAAGTTATTCTACCGAGGGTCGGACGTCTCAAAAAGAGACTTCCTTAACCGATTTCAACTTTAACGGAAATCGGAAAGCTTACTCGAACCCCGGAATAATGCTCAGAGTCACTCTAAAGTGCCAAAGGCTTCCTAGAGAGTGGAGGAGTGAAAAATGTGTGAAAAATCAGAGAAATAAGGCTCATATTTATAGGGATTCGGGCCTAGAAAAGGTGGACGACCGTCTGGACAAAGCGGACGGCCGTCCATGGCAACTTTTGGCCATGGACGACCGTCCAAGCTAAGTGGACGGTTGTCCATGGCCTTAAAGTTGCCATGGACGGCCATCTGCCTATCCTGGATGGGCATCTGCCTGTCCTGGACGGTCATCCGCTTGTCCTGGAGTCCAAGACGACCATTTGCTGTCTCCGACGAATTTCCCGATTTTTAATGCCTCTAAAAACCCTTCCTATCCTAAATGGAACCTAGAACAAGCTACTAGGGACTTGATAAATTCTTAACCATCTTCGAAACTAGGCGATCTTCGGCTTTATTAGAGAGTCGGATAAAATTTAGGGTCTATTGAAATCAAGTTTTAAAAAATAATATAATTATTAATAAATCTCTTCCGTAGATTTAAAATTAACCCACGTCTGGAAATTAATTTTAAAAAGAATATTTTCTTTTGTTATTAAGAATAAAATACTTTGTAACAAAATATGATGTGTGCATATAAATTTTAAAAATAAATTGAAATTTAAAATCGTTTCCATCTTGCACCAATCTCTCTCATGAATAATTATAGATAATCATTCTTTTAATCAATTTTTTTTCTATCTCATAAAATAAAAATAATATTTCTATAAAAATAACTAGTATTACAGGTAAAAAATTCTTTAAGAGGAATGATATTTAAATAATTTCAAAACATTTTGTCAACATTTTCTATTTAATAATATAATTATAATAATAAATATAAATATTTAAAATTTTATTAATATTATATTAATAATTACAGATGTTGAAGGTTGTTTATTTTGACGTCCTGTCAATAAATCATTTCTTTTTCCCGTCAAATTTAAACGTAAAAATTGTTAATTAATGAGATGGAAAAGAAAATTGTTTCTTTAATGCATTTCAACAGAAAACAAGCGAGAGGATAGAAACCTGAAGAAGTTACTCGGTTACAGGAAAGTTTTTGTTAACGTAGGATTTGAATCTATTAATAATTAGATTTTGTTAACATAAAAAGAGTGGAATATATTAATGATTAGATTTTGTTAAAATTGTTACTGCTGAAAATTCTATATATTTGCATAGTTTCTTCTCCAAGTTGAAAAGTTAATTTTAATTCATCTAAAAGAAAAATTGTTAAGAATAATTTCATCTCTTATTCTCTTCCTTATTCTACTTATATTCATCTTTGCATCATATTCGAATGCATACCCTTTATCAACATAAAAGAGATGGATCATAGATGAAGATACTGGACAACGTGCGAAGTTGGTACGTGCCAATTGGGCTGACCACCTCCATCCAATGATTCCTGAGGGTCTTGATAAAAGGCCCTTCAAGGACATCGTTGGTATGATTGTGGAGCACAAGTTCAACTATGTGTGTCTTACCTATGCAATTTACATGTGGACACGCTATGTCCACGACAATGTCAATGTCACACTTACCTCTTTGGATGTGCTAGGTGTGGTCCAAGGCATTGCCAAGAGCAACCCTTCTGTGTTATCCATGACACATGTTCAGGTCTTTGATTCTGTTGTTCGTAAACTTGAGATTTAGAATGTGAAAATGTTGCTTAATAACCACGTGAGTGAGCCAAAGTGGTGTTGTAATGACAATGATGAAAACGGTTTCTTCCATGATAGACATTTTAATCCTCAAGAATGGGTGCATGACCTTACTCTTACAGCCAAACACTTTAATGGAAACCATGTTGTATGTATATTTCTCTTTTGCTCAAACATTATATATTATAGTTTTCTTAGTCTTTTTAATAAGATAATGGATATAAAATATTATTTTGTGTATACAAACAGATCGTGGCCGGTGGTGGATCTTCTTGGGAGCCGAGGGGCCGTGACCCTCCCAAAGTTTTGTAACTCCCATGTAATTGATGATTTTGCCCCCCCCAAACTTAATGAACATTTAATATATTTACTTGTATATTTACAATTCTATCCTCTCAGCCCTCTCCTCAATTTTGTAACTCTCATATAATTTATGATTTTGTCCCCCTCAAACTTAATGATCATTTAATATATTTAAATATATATCTATAATTTTATCCTTTCACCCTTTCATCTTCTTTCTTCCTTTTATATTTATTTATTATTTATTAATAATATATTATTTGACCCCCTCAAGATCAATGGTCAAGATCCGCCACTAATTGTGGCAATGAGCTTGAGGAATGAATTGCATTGTCCACGCCAAAATTTGTATGACTGGTATAGGTACATGTGCAAAGCAAGTAGTGACTATACACAAGATAAACCCAAATTTGCTCATGGTTATTTTCGGATTGAACTATGATACTGAGTTGCAGTTCTTAAAGAGTAAATTGTTAGATAAATGACATCTAGAGGGGGTGAATAGATGCACAAATTAAAATAGATGTCAAATTAAAATTTATTTTAAATGTCCAATAATTTATTAATTCAATTTTAATTATCAGATAAAATAAAGATATAGCGAAGCGATATAATCGAGAGAGATAAAGGGAAGGAAGTAAGTAGATGTTATCACATAGGTATAAGGAAAAGAAAAGCACAAAGTAATTTATACTAGTTTGGGTATAGTCAACCCTACATCCAGTTCTCAGTCACCTCTAACACAAGAGTGACCCCAATTCACTATCTTTAAAATTCAGTTTACAAATTACAATCAACTCAGCAGAGGAACCAGTAAAGAGTAAAATAATTTAAAAGACAATCACCTCCTTAGAAACCTACTAAGGATGAACACCTCCCTAGAATCTCACTAGGGATGAACACCTTCTCTTAACAAATCAAATGATGAAAAACACCTCCTTTGCCACCAACACACAAAGGATGAACACCTCTCTAGAATCACACTAGGGATGAACACCTCCCCGAACAAATCAAAAGGATGAAAACACTTCCTTAGAATCCCACTAAGGATGAACACCTCCCTGAAAAAATCAAAGGGATAAAAACACCTCCTTAGAATCCCACTAAGGATGAACACTTCCCTTGAACAAATTAAGGGATGAAAAACAACCACTTAAACCCTAAAAAGGGGATTTAACAGCAACCACTTAAACCCTAAAAAGGGAATTTAACGACAACCACCTAAACCCTAAACAGGGAATTTAACATCAACTTTCTAAACCCTAAAAATGGGAAGGTAATAAAATAAGAATAGTCACACTTGTGTAATGGAGACAACAAATTGTAGAAGCCTGTAGAATGTCAACCTCCAAGAACAAGTGTGATTAATAATGAAAACACAAAAGACAGTAGAGAATAGGGTTTTCTCAGAAGGTGTAAAATATTTATGTTGTCTTGCTTAGAATTCTTTTTTTAAAACTGAATGAATGTAAAATTTTATTTTCGAATTGTGTAATTGTGTATTTTTTATTTTTCATCAAAACTCATTCAAATAGGAAAATAACGTTAGAAAATAGTCGTTGATCATTAATACTTTCTTAGAAAAAAAATTAGGATATATTAAAAAACATTTATTCTTCAAAACGAATATATTTTTCAAATTTAAACTGCCATAATCGATTACCAGTATAATCAATTATGATATAGAAAAAATCGTTTTTCCATTTATGATGCATATAATTGATTATGATAGTAAAAAATGTCATATTACGAAATTTTATCACACTTGTGCTTTGGAGACTTATGCATAATATCACTTCATCAACTTATACCTCTATATCCAGTATTCAAAGACTTTATCTAGTCTTCAGGAATCATCTTGGGCTTGCTTGAATCTTGAATGTTGTTGACTTGAATCATCATCAAAAACATATATTGGTAATGTAAGGACATGTTTCACATTTTTATCAATCTCCCCCTTTTTTATGATGATCAAGGAAACACCTGAAATGAATTAAAATGCTTGACTATATATAGCCAGCTCAAGATTAGCACAAATTTGCACAATATAGTGTAACATAGATTTGTATCAAGTGTTAGAGTCTCTTAATCTCCCCCTAGATGTATTAATAACAAGACTCCCCCTAACTCATATGAGCAAAGACTTCTCTTAACTCCCCCTGTTTAATTCAGAGATAGAAATGAATTTCACACAAATTTTAATTCATAAAAAAATCTCCCCTTGTTTCATTGATAATTACAAAAAATATTTCAAGAGAAAAAAATCTTCCCTTGTTTAACATAGATTAATATCATCAAAATCTCTCCCTATTTTATTGATAATTAGCACAATTTTGCACAGATTTGCACATAAACCAAGGTAGATAACATAATGCATTATAAAGTGTCATAGAGAAGAACATCATAATAAGGAAGTAATATCTAGGATACCCAAGACAAATGAAGAGAGAGAAAGATATGAGAATGGAATGATTGCAGAGATAATGGAATGGAATGCAGTACTTTCTCTCAATTGCAGTCTTCTTATTGAGGCAGCTTTCAAATTCACATTCAAATTCATTCATATTCCAAATTTCAAATTTTAAATTCAAATTGCAACAAATTTCAAATTCAAATTCCAACAAATTCCGAATTTCAAATTCCAATTTCAAATTTCAAACTTCAAATTTTGAATTTAAACTTTCAAATTTCAAAACTTTCAAATTTCAAACCTTCAGATTTCAAAACTTTCAATTTTCAAAATTCAAACTTTCAAATTTCAAACTTTCAAATTTCAAATTTTGAAAATTCAGACTTTCAAATTTCTAAGTTGGTTAACAATCAAATTTATGTAGCAAATAAATGCAGATATTCAATGCGAGAGGCATGAGAGACAAAAAATAAACTTATTTTTGTGATATTTTCTTGTTTATCCAGACTTTTCTCCTGTACACCCATTTAGCTCAAATAACCTACATTGATTTCTTATCCTAGATAATTACCTGCAACATTAACATACAAATCTAGATACCCTTTAATTATTTTTGGGTCCTTAAAAAGGTTTGTAGAATCACAAGTCTCTGCCAAAAGACTAAGGATAAAAGAATAGAACCATGATGTAATTAAAAAAAAATTCATACTTTAAATTTTTTTTCTCTCATACTCGATTTTCATAGCACCTTCAGAATAAACATAATCGATTATGACAACAAGAAATTTCACTCTAGAAGACAACATAATCGATTATTACAGCAGAGATTCATACTTTGGAAGACAACATAATCAATTATCACAACACATACAGAAATAACATAATCGATTATAACAGCAAGGAATTGCACTCTGGAAGACAACATAATCAATTATCACAGCACATACAGAAATAACAGAATCAATTATTTCACTAATGTAATCGATTATGATACTTATATAATCGATTATTTCAGCAAAATATCACACTCTGGAAGATAACATAATCGATTATCACAACTTATACAGAAATACCATAATCGATTATTACAGTGGTAAGTGGTAAAAAATTGATATAATTATGTTTTGAATTGTTATAAAACCACTTAACTTATATTAATTCTAATCTATTTTTCTCCCAATGTAGGATGAATTCAAGAATATTTTGTTACAAGAGTAAGAAGCATAATTGTCAGCAAAATTGGAAGAAGGAAGAAGATTTCCAGCATGAAAGTCGCTCGAGCGAGATGGACTCTTGTTTGAGCGAATATCAGTTATTCTTCTCTGGAATTCAGCCGCTCAAGCGCAAGTATTCACTTGAACAAATATTAGTTATTCTTATCTGGAGTTCACTTGCTCAAGCGAGTGAATTGTCGCTTGAGCGGAAAATAGGGAACTTTCACTTGAGCGAATGTTGTCGCTTGATCCAAAGACGCGAGAATCAATTTTTCCTATAAAAAGATAAGATGTGTTTTGAGCAAGGGAATCAGTTTTGGGGAGAAGAGGCGCATTGGAGCATTGTAATGGCCAACATGAGTGGCTAACTTCATTATCTTGGGATTTGGTGCACTTCCTTTGAACTCTTTTGTATCATGGTGATATTTTGAGATATTAATCTATGTTTTGATGTTGTTATTCTTATCCTTTGTGCTTTGGAATGATTTGTCCTTGATGTTTGGGATATGATTGGAAAATATATCTTGAACCCTAGATCACGGTAAGAATATTCGTTACATTAATTGTTAGAAATGGAATGAATGTATCAATTGTTTAACACCCTAAATCTAATGCTGGAAAATCTCTTAATTATGTGAGGAATCAACATGGATGATTTGAGTAGGTGACATCAACATTGTTAGGTTAATTGACGTTCTTAATTGACATAGTCATTACAAAAGAGGGAAAAGGAAGGAAGTCAATCCTAAGTGCCTTTAATTGATATTTTCTAAACAATTTATAGTTCTTTGTCATTTAATTGCAATTCAACTCTTTATGCAAAACCTATTTTGTTTTAATCCACTTAGTAAGCATATAATTGAGAATTTTCATTGAAATCGTTCCTCGTGGGATCGACTTTTATTTAATTGAAATACTATATTGTGATTGATAATTTTGGTATGCTTGCCAATAATTCAACAAGTATTTCTGGCGTCATTGCCGGGGAACGGTGTTCCTTGGAAATTCTTTGTTTAGCTTATTAAGAATTTTATTTTTAATTCTATTTTTATTTTAATTTTAGTT